TGAATGACTATCTAAGCCACACTGCTTTACCTGCAGCAGTGTGTGTGTGTGTGTGTGTGGATGTATGTGTGTGGTGTGTTCAGTGGGAGCCAGAGGTCCAACAGGCAGTTGAGGAGCTGCTAGGATTTAGGAGAGATAAGTGGTGAGACAATGAAAGAGTGGAGTTTTTGAACTTTTTGTTTGTTTGTTTGTTTGATTTTCTCTGTAAGAGAACAACGGTTTCAGGACTTAAGCCAAAAAACAAGCCGTACAAACCAGCAAATACATCAACAACAACAGAAAAAGAAAAAAAAAAAAAAGCCTCCTCTGGGCCAGAGCCATCTGAGACAGCCAGGAGGAAACCACCGGACATTGGTTGTTAGCGATGGTGATGTTGAAATGACAGCGTTTTCTTCTGCCAGACCGCAGAACAAAGAGTAACAGATAGAGTTTTCGGTGTCTGATCCGAGTGTTGTTTTCATGAAGGAGAACAGGACAGAACACAGGCAGAAGTAGAATTTACTGAAGTAGATCAAACCTTTGTAGTGACAAAGTGACACAGAAGAAAAACAAAATCCAAAGGCACCATTTCATGTCCATTCACTAAACGCCAACCTTTGGAATGGAACTCAGCCCATGTTTATATTTTTACATTTAGACCCTGCAGAGCAACGTTTGAATCTGGCAGCCCTTCATTTGAAATTCACTGTTTTTGTTACTTATCAAAAATTCAATAAACGCCTGGAATAGAATAGAATAAAATAGAATAGAATAAAATAGAATAGAATAAAATAGAATAGAATAGAATAGATTAATAGTCCTGGCACGAGGTACTCGGACCTTTAGCATTTAGCAAAATGAGTTTCGATTACAAACAGTCCAGTATAAATGGTATAGACCATTGTTTCCTAAAGGGTGGGTCGCGGCCCTCAGGTGGGTCACAAGATTTTTTTTGGGGGGTCGTCTCGCATCAAGTTTCCCAGGAGTTTATGAATAATTATACAATATACAATAGTCTATTGACTTGGGTCGCGAAGGTTTGTGAGACTAGAGGTGGGCAAACCTTTGGGCTCGTGGGTCAAAATGAGGTTCAAAAATGGACCTGCGGGTCGGTATTGGCCAGATGGCAGAATACTGGACGAAATAATATAAATAACATTTTTTTAAAAGATTAAAACGATTAAAGATTAAAAGATTAAAACCTAAACTTTTAAAGAAAAATGTCTGGCGCCATCTAGTGGCACTATCTGA